AATATGGTTTGCCAATTGGTAACAGCATATAATAAATCGAATAAAGTTTGTCAGAAAGAACTAATCCTCTCTGAGTATTGATTCACAAAGCCAGGGGCAAGTAATTCATAGACGGTTAGGTCTCCATTACTTGGAGAACACAACACAAAATTTTTTGGTATAATCCTTACTCAACTGAACAGAACATAATTAATGACCGGTTCTTTTATGTCGCCATACATATATCTTTCTTATACGTGACGTGAATTATCTATTATAAACTAAAGTTGTTCAAAACTACTATAAATCAATAGCATGCTACAGACTATAAACTATAAATTTCTATTAAATACGCTATGTTATAGTGCGCTAAGAAAGCGTGTGGGGTGACGGCAAGCGAGTAAAGTTTTGCAGCACGTTATATTCCGTAGCACGTTGCATTACATGTCGTTCGTTGGATAGACCGCGTGCTATATAAGAAGATTATTTCGTAATAAGTCGCATTATAGACAAAAAACCAATAAATTTCGTTCATACTATTCAAGATTACGACTATCTTTAATCGATGTAAACATTATTTTAACCCTAAGGTACATTATAAATCAATTAAAGATTATTAAAAATGTATTTGTATTATTACATTTACTACTATATACATTTTTGTATCTATATTTTATATACCTTTGAAAACATGAGTTAGGATACTTTTGTAGGAGACAACTGTGTCCTTCGATCACTTATACATATAAATTACCTGTACTAAATAACGGTACCTAAATAACATCTCATACTAAATTAGGTCGCGTGCAATGAATAGCGTGCTGCTATAGCAAATTTGCGTCACACATTCACTCCCAACAGCGCTGCTGCTAGAACTAATTGCCGCTAGGTATTAATAGCGCCAAAGCGCCATAACGCCATAGCGCCATGGCGACTACTTACATAGCACGCGCTATGCGCCAAGGAAAGATAGCGCGCTATAATGTGGCGCTATGTGCTATATTAACCACCATTGTTGTAAACTAGCTGTTATCCGTGACTTGGCCCGCTTGTAAAATATTACGATTGGATTCTATAGGTTTTAATTTTATTTGCGGAACGCTAATCTTTTTCTAAAATAAAAGTAGTCTAAGTTACTCCTTATAACATTAGCTATCTGCTACTGAAAATCCTACCAAAATTGGTCGTGCCGTTTCGGAGGTTAGTCGGAACAAACTGACAGACAAAATTTTTAAAAATTGTCTTTTTAGGTACCATATATTCATTCATAGGCATTTAGTAAAAAGCTATTATTTTGACATTACAAACAGACAGTTCAATTTTACTATTATAGATATACTCTAAAAAAACTACTCGTCCTTGAAAATAATAATATTGCTTTCAAGAAAATATTTAGAGATAATAAATAAATTAAATTGCATTTTTAGAGTTTGAAAAGTGGAAATAGAAAGATTTGAATTGACCTTTGTTTCCAAATTACATTCAGTTTTTTTTGCTGTCATCATCAATACAGCCCATCACAGTTCCACTGCTGAATATAGGCCTCGCGTAAGGAAATCCACTAAGCACGGCGCTGAGCCACCTACATACATCGACTTTCTGCATCTCTCCGTCTAGTGGGAGGCCGCTCTACATTTACCTTACCGGTACGAGGTTTTTCTTACTTCCATGGCCTATTCGGTCACTCCGGTTCTACAGCGGATATTTTTATTACGATGTATAAGATATTTGGGAATTTTGATCAAAGAAATGCGACTAGTAGTTTTGACAGTCCTCTCTTAATGTTAACCAAACACTACCCAAAAAATTCTGAAGATACCGAAACAGATGAAAATCAGAGGGTGCAAGGTCAGGACTATACAAGCATATACAAGCTCTCTCAATTTTTGCTGAGTGGCCAAAGATGTGTGTGGTCTGGCATTATCATGATTAAAGACCACGCCTTTTCTGTTGATCAATTTCGGTCGTTTTTACTCAATTTCTTGCTTGAGTCTCATTAGTTGTTGGCAGAAGAAATCCAAATAGATGTTTTTGTCCGGCAGTAAAAACTCATTATAAATGATGCCCTTCGTTGAAAATGATATTATCCCACAATACACACAGCACCACCTTATTGCGTGTTAATCCGGGTGGCGACGCTGTCGTCGCGCCACAAATTAAACACACCGAAGCCTTAATCGCGCTATCAAAATTCCGAATCATAAACAGTATATATAGAACATCTCCGAACTATCACTCGGAGTGTGAGCCGCTCCCCGGGCAGAACACCTTGCCCGGCGGGAGATCTCCCCTTTTCCTTCCACGACCACAGTGGTGACCCCGACGTGATCTGAACACGTAACCAACAACCTTCGGAAACTTCAAGCTTCATCATCGTCATAGAGTACCCCGCACCACCCATTCGCTCCCGAGCAGATATCGACTACAGTCTTCATATCCTGCAAGCCATCTAGCTTCACAAGGTTCATCGTAGCACTGGAATAATAATTCTTCCTGTTCCTTCAAGCTACTCTCTGCGCTATACAGTTTTCGGCACGGCTCTGAGCCTTACTGCTCGCCTCTGCTTCACGGCACTCTCGCAGATTACTTGCCTTCTTCTCGACTCACCGCAGACTACAAGGATATCTCCTTGTAGTCTGCGGTGTAGTCTGCATTCGTCGGAAACGAGGCTGCGCTATCGACCTCCGGTCTGAGCAGGGGGGTGATGTGGCGGCGCTGTCGTCGCGCCATAAACTAAACACACCGAAGCCTTAATCGCGCTATCAAAATTCCGAATCATAAACAGTATATATAGAACATCTCCGAACTATCACACGGAGTGTTGGCCAGTCCCCGGACAGAACACCTTGCCCGGCGGGAGATCTCCCCTTTTCCTTCCACGGCCACACAGACCATGGAGCTTGACTACCTTTTCCGCACATTATTGTCGTCCGAAACCCACTAAACGGTGTTAATGGAAAACTTCAACGCAAAACTAGGCACAAGAGAAAACGGTGAGCTGAAGATAGGGAAATTTGTGATACGACAACAGAACCCACGGGGCCAGCAGCTGGCTGACTTCATGAAGAAAGAGGGACTCTTTATGATAAACTCTTTCTTTAAGAAGCAGCCTCTCAGAAAGTGGACCTGCTTAAGCTGCGACGGTTCAACAAAAATGAGATTGACTTCATTATGACGACTAGATGCCAATAGTTCAGTGATGTCTCAGTGATCGCGAGGGTGTAAACTAGCAGCGATCACCCAATGGTAGGAATGGAGACACACTGAACCTAAACGTTAAGTTGGACAGGTCCCGTCTAATGAAACCCAGCAGTATGAAGCTGCTATTTTACGCTGGTATTCTGTGAGAGCGTGATGCTTCCCCGGTCGAGCCGACCCATTCGTGCTACAACCGTAATATAGCTGCAGCGTGACTCTACCACGTTCTGAAGGATAACAAATAATACAATACATTCGAACCTATTTTTCAGTTCAAAATTTATAATGATGTCAACGCTCCGTCAGCCTCGTGTTCGCGTACAAAACCGTTACAAAATCGTCAGTGTGATCTCCAGCACATCAAAAACGGCAAAGCCCCGCGCTTGTATGGAATTACAGCGGAGCTTCTGAAAGCGGATGGAAAACCGGTACTTGAAGTATTCAGAGGCTCTTTAATGCCGGTTTCTTTAATACGGTGGTCTTATTCTTCAAAAAAGGCGACAACGCTCTCTTGAAGAATTACGGACGGATTTCCCTTGTGAGCCGCGTCTACGTGCTGGTTTCAAGATTCGTTACGAATCTCGTCTCTTCTCGTCTCTTGCTTGCGTTGCAGCCTCCCAAACAAGGCGGTTTCCGAAAAGGCTTTAACACCATAGCCCACATACATACTCTCTGGCAAATTGTACAGAAGAGTGAGGAGTACAATCTGCCACTAAATCCTGCGTATGAGAAAGCCTTTGATTGCGTCGAAATTTGGGCGGTGCTGCAGTCCCTTCAGCGGTGACAAGTAAACTGTCGGTACATCGAAATTCTGAAGTGTTTGTACAGAAGGGCTACGATGGCTATCCGAGTACAGAACCGGAGTACGAAACCTATCCAACTGCAGAGAGGTATAAGACGGTGACGTTATATCCCCGAAACTCTTTACCGCTGCATTAGAAGACGTTTACAAGCTACTGGACTAGAAAAGATATGGTATTAACATCAATGTAGTACATCACTCACCTTCGGTTTGCCAACGATATAGGTATGAATATATGGTATGATAGAATCACTGCAGGACCTCAGCACTATCCGTAATGACCTCAATAGTGCCTTCCAACGGATAGATCTTATTATTATCCATAAATTCTTTCATATTATAATAATCCTTTTTATACAAAATTAGTTTAATAAATTTTTTGAACTTAATACAGGTCAAATTTTATATATTGACTGGGATTTTGTTGTAAAAGCGTATATATTCCCCAAAGAATGAATTACTGACTCAGTGGAGTCGAGTACCTGTTGCTACTAACTTGTGTCTGTTCCTAGTATTTACATAATGAATAACACCTATTTTTCTAAAACTGCTTTTATTTTTATATAAAATACATTATATTCATACAGTACATTTTCATAAATTTATTGAGAGGCCAAAGTAAATATATTAATTTCATTAAATTTTTGTCTGATCGACTTTTTAGATCCTAAATCATATATTGCTCTAATGATACAGAAGAGGGCCTTCTGTAAAACAGATATAATTTCAGTGTCAGTCGCGTTTCCATAGCAAAATGAATATCGGACAGTGCAAGTGTTAAGATGATGAGTTCGTTCAGTATAGTATGAGCACCGGAATTCTTGAGAACGTTAATCTCCGTGACGCCCGCTAACGAAAGAAATAAGTGTGATTTTTTTTTATACATTTAGGGGAACAATCGAGCACTCAGACCACAGTCCACTGTGGCAAATGGACACCTACATTTATCTTTGATTAAGAATCGAAATGTAGTTGCTTTGTCACCCTGTTTTGTTCACCATCAAATTTTTCCTTGTTTCAGTTACCGAGATGGCAAAGTATTTACTCTATCGAGTTCCGGCGGGCCGCGTCCGGGTCCCTCTGGGTTGAACTCGTGCGTTATGACCAAGAGCCCCAGGTTTCCTTGCGTCGAGAAACCATTTACCACGCACACACTGAACCTCCTGCACATGCCGGCCAACTGTAGAAATCAACTGGAGGATGGAATCGAGCCTTTTGATGAAGTGAGTTATTCACGTTAATAAGTTATCTTGATGTTGCTTTATTACTTATACATTTATTACTTATACAAATAACAGAAACAATACGCCGTGATCATATCAAAACAAGCTCCGACTTTATTGCATATTCCTTTGATGGTAACTCCCGTTTTGCGATTCACACTAGTGTTGCCTAATTGCAAGAACAAGACGAGACTTAGCCAGTCTTGGTCTTGGTATTGTACTCCCAGTCTTAGTCTTGGACTTGGTCTTGCAGCAAGAGTCTCGCAATTACCTATTAGCCTATTGCTATTTATTAAACCTTACTTTAGATCTTAGAACAATTTAACAGAGTGGGTACATTGTGAGCTTGAATTAACATAGCCATAGTAAAGACCAACCAAATTAATAAATGTCTAAACATTTAATGAGAAATTCGAAAAATCAACTGACAATGGGCGGGTTTTGAAACCACGACCTAAGCGATCCGTGCCGATGCTCTAATCAACTGAGCTATCTACCGTGTCCCGCGGTCACGGGAGTTAGTCTGTTTCATAATAAACGTTTAAATTTAATTAAAGAATAGTATGCTTTTTTTTTGGCTAAACAAGCATTTAATGTGGAACTTAAGTTGAAAAGGTAAAATATCTAACATTTTTTTTTTTGGAATCTTGTTATAAAAGCGTATACCGCTAACCAAGAACGAATTGTATACTTTGTATAACCGGAAAGCAGGTAATGTGGTTTTATTTTTATTTCCACTATTAAAATTGTGCAAATCACTATTCTCTACAAGTAAGTGAATTTTTGCCGTTTTTACAAATATCATGTACGTACATGATATTTGCAAAAACGGCAAAAATTCACTTACATGATATTTGCATAAATATATTATGATGCAACAGTCAAGATATGAATTTCTTTCAGATACTCGGGCTCCTAAGCAGTACATATGTCTTATTGCACGCTTTTTACTTTATATGCATGCTTTTTATATTAATCGATTAGCATTGTAGAAAATTTTTACAAGTTTCAAGTGTGTTAAAAGTGTGTACAATATTTATCGCGAATTTAATTTATATTTTGCATTCAAACCGCAAACTGTAGTATATAATGGTATCACCGCTAGGGATGTAGTCTTGTTTAGTGACTTACCGATAACAGGTAAGCACCGGTAAAACTTGAGTGTATTTATTTTGAAATATTTCAATAATATTTTTTGTTATTAATTTTGCACAACTTTGGACTAAAAGATAAATACTAAAGTGTTCACTTTGTAAAAGTGCAATGAAAACAGTTCCAAATACACGAAGCTTTGTAAATTTTGCGAATAAAAAATCCAAAATTTTACCTCAAGAAATATAAGACAAAAACGTAATTTACTGCCAAAAAATAATAAATATAGATATAAATACAGTTAATCAGAATCATGTGTATGACAAATCTATAATATACTATTATGATGCGGGCAGGGCTGGATTCAGACCCTCAAAAATATTGTACATGGAAAATAAAATTATACCATATAAAAAAATTATATCACGTTTGACGTTTCATGTTTCTTTTTTCCATGTGCCGGGATTTTGGCGTCACGCATCTAGTTTATCTATACATTTCGTTTTTTGACGGTTTTATTTTTATTTCTGTTTAATTTATGTCTAAAGAACTTAGTGTAAATTAAATTTTGAATATTGGTACCTAATATATTTTATATTCAATAAGGGTAAAACTAAAATAGTACAAAAGAAATCATATGTGCTTAATTGAATCTGAAAATCTGATCCATAAAATATTTTGAAATTCTGTTTTCAAACTGATTGCTTCTGGAGCTTAGAGTTTTTATCGTGGTAGCCCCTCATCATAGTTGTATCAACGATGCAACATAAATGCATCGATCGAGCATCGATTGACCAGAAAGGGAGCTAATTCTAATTTTATTAAAAATCACGGTACTCATGTACACTACATAAATTCTCGATATCGTAGGGGTTATATCAAAATGTAAAAGGACCCAATAATAATACAAGTCGACCTCTAGTTAAAATTATGGTATTTTCGCTTGGTATTTATTACGATAATATGTACTAAAAACTATGAAATAATGGTACAATTAGGATAATTACACTACGAAATCCGACCCTGGTTACGTCGTGTTTTGATATGACGTTTGTATTATGACAGATGCGCTACTTTTTCTTGTATGAAAAAGTTATGAGTAAAATATTTAGATGGGCCTATCCTTCCTTTTGAAATCATTGGGACCCAGCTCTATGATACTTGTCTGGATATTTTACGTCTGATTATAGAGGACCCTAGATCACTAAAATCGTGCAAATACGATTGGATGTCCAGGGAGTAGTATGTACCTTTGAGTTCTTGACTTTATACCTACTGTATGTCTATCCGTATACGTGCCATGTAGTGGCGGCTTAAAAGAATCCACTACACAATAAAAAAAAGTTAGACGGCTCCGTGGTGCAGTGGCTTAGCAATGAGTGGCTGCGCTGGGGGCCGTGGGTTCGAATCCCCACACGGAACAAATATTTATTGTGCAATTTATGTTTGTAAACAGCCTCCACGATACAGGAGAAAATCCTAGTGTGGGAGCAACATCTTTAAAAAAGAAAAAGAAAGAAATAATATCGCGAGGATCGTAAGAAGCGACAAGGTGAATGAAACAAGAAATAGGAAGCAGCCTCGTCTTGATAAAAATTAAAATAATAAAAAACTTTGCTTATTAACTCACCTGCAAAGCCTCACAACTAATGTGAAGAGCCCCCTTATGGAAGAAGTTTATGATCAGCAGTGAACTATGATAATTCGTTATGATGATGACTGTATGCTTTCACACAGACAGCAGATGACACGGGATAGAACATTCCTTTTATGTTAAATTCTAATGGCATAATAGAACATCCCACGATTTAGATCTCAAAAACTGTTCTGAAAAATGCTGGTTGCACTATCCATATAAACAAAACAAGAGTTACCTTTTTTCTTCTTTCACTATATCATTTTTATTCGTTTTTATCCCTAATGGATTGCTTTTAATTTGTGTAATTGGTTCGGTACTCAATGCCAAACCAGTGCGCCAATATCCTATACCTTTAAACGAGCAATTCTTGTATATATAATATATATAATCGGAATCTCGGAAACGGCTCCAACGATTTTCATAAAATTTAGTGTCCAGGGTGTTTCGGGGGCAATAAATCGATCTAGCTAGGATTTATTTTCAGAAAATGTCCTTTTGTCCGTGTTTTCAGGCAATAAAAAAACTGCTACAATATAAGAAGGTAAATTTTGACGTATAGCGTAACAATCGTAATAGCTCAGGTGGGATGTCGGTCAGGCTTGATATCGGAGTTTCGTGGTTCGCGTCCTGTCTCTAGTCCGGCTTTTTTTCATTTTTTTTCAAGTTCCCTTCTTTTGTGAGAAAATCTATTATTTCAAGCCCTTTTTTTAGTATTTTTTAAAAATACGAAAATTTTAATAAAACTAATTGCACTCATGATTTTTTATTCAAATAACCAGTTCTGTTTTCCATTCCATTCTATCAATAAGATCAAAAAATATTATTTGTGTTTAATCAGTATGTAATTTATAAATGTAATTTCAAAAAAAAACCGAGCAAAGCTCGGTCGTCCGGGTACTAAATTAATAAAATGCCGATTCAATTAAGCCGATGAAATGGAGATTCTGAACTGCCGATTTCATTATTTTTATTAAGTCGTTTATACGATAATCTTTAAAGTATTAAATAGTAATAGAAACTTTATAAGAAAAATTTACCGCTGAAAAAACTGAAGAGCAAAAAATAATAACCCTTTTTCTTTTACTTTAATAACCTAATGTAAGTATACCTAAGTAGATTTGAATCAACTTCAAACAAGCAAATTAATAGTATTTTTTGAAATGTTGATGTTTATCGCTGAAAATTTCAGGTTGCATTGTTAATTTGATTTGGTTATTTCTTTGAATTTAAGGTAGTTTAGTGATCTATGTTCATTGATTGCTTGGCGTCGACTCAAAATTACTTAGATATAGTTACAATAAGTTTAAGAACTTAGTTATTAAGGTTAATTAAAAACTCAAAATAGTTACAAAAATATATAGTACTTAGGTACACTTACATTAGTTTAAGAACCTAGTTATAAGGTAAAAGAAAAAGATTTATTATTTTTTGCTTTTTAGTTTTTTCGGTTAAATGGAGATAATTACCTGGAATTCCTCATAAAAGATCTCCTAGAGTTTCTGGACGAGGCTGAAATACCAATATTGGTAACGAGAACGATCTTTCAGCAAGATGGTTGTCCAGCGCATTGGACTCTAAACTTGCGAGAACATTTAAATAACTGTTTCCCAGAGAACTGGATCGGCAGAGACGGGCCCATCCCTTGGCCACCTCGATCGCCTGATTTAACCCGTGTGGATTTTTCGTTTGGGGACGGGCCAAGGAGCTCGTCTACACGCATTTGGAAATATCAACTAGAGAGGAGTTAATGGGAAGACTGCATACTGCTTTTCAAGTTATGAAACAGAAGATGAAAATGAAAATTACGACCACAGAAGTGAGAAGACGAGCCCGTCTCCCTGTGGTCTTTTTCATTTTCGACACTAGGTCAGAGATAGCGTTTAACATTATGAAAAAAAATTATTTTAACAAAATATGTTGTTTTATCGGGCTGTAATAATATTCGCCAACAATTTACTTTGTACACCCTGATTTCAAGAATCAATGAGACATTTGCGTAAATAATACCTCAAAAGAAAGGGCACTAACGAGCAATGTTTTCACAAAGGCTACTTTATTTATTTTCTAACATATTTCTTAATTTTTTTTTGGTTTTATAAACTTGCGTATACTACGTAACTATGCGTAGAAATTTTTGCTGATGATGAAGATGCTTGCATCCATCTTCGAATCTTCCTGTATATTTTGTTACTAATAATAGCTGTTTAGTACTATGATTACATTTCAAACAAGGTCAATAATATATATTCGACATTGTTAAATATCGCTT